TTGCCAAGAAAACTGCAGGGACTTGTCCAGGCAATCACCAGGAGTCAGTGCTGACTCGCGGGCAGGCAGACACATTTTAAAATAACAATTTTGGGGTTTCATTTGATTCACCATTTTTTCCCTCAGCATGTATTTTCAGCAGCATAAACTCTGTTTCCTACGAGCTGGATCCCTGCCCCTTCTTTGGGCAGTTAACGGGTGATGGTGATCAGTATGGGAGATTGTAAATGCCAATTTAAGGGAGGTAATGGTACTCAGTGTCATGAAAAAGGCATTGATGGACCCTCTCTTAAAGAAGCCAACTTTTGATGTCACTGTGTTAGACAACTTCCAGTCTGGCTCCAATCTTCCTTTTTTAGGGAGTTTTTAGAGAAGGTAGTAGAACTCCAACTACAAGGGATCCTGGATTATCAAGATCCTTTCCAATATGGATTCAGATCTGGGTACAGGACAGAAACTACACTGGTGATTCTTGTGGATGACTGCTGGGATCTGGATGGTGGGAATGCAACTCTCATTTTCTTGGTAGCTCACTCAGTAGATTTTGATATCACTATCAATGGATTGCCTGCCTATGAGAATTAAGAGTAAGACATACTGTATTACAATGCTTCAGCTCCACTGCATTGGTTTCCTGTAAGTTTATTAGTACAATTCAAAGTGCATGAGCCCAGGATATCCTTCATGTTAACTCTAGACAGTCTGTTGCTCTCATCTGGAGGGGATTCCATGTCTACCCTTGGCTCAGAAGATGAGGGGGAAAGCCCCACCCTAACCCTCTGGAATCTTCTCCCTCCCAAGATGTGTTTGTCCTCAGTCATTTTCTAGAAAGCTGCTAAAACGTGGCTGGTCAAGCCTCTGGAAGCTGACATCTGCATTGCCCATGGTACTTGGTCAGCAGTGCACTATTTTCCTACCTTAAAGTGGAGTGTTTGTTTTATGACTACTGTGATATGGTTTTCACGGTTTTAAAGATTTCTGACTTGGTTTTTTTAATGATCTAGAGATCTTGTATTGTGGCAATATACAAATATTGGAAAACAAATATCGGTAAACTTGTACATTTTTGTCATATGGAATAAAGTAATAGCACAGAACTCTGCAGACCAAATGAAGCTGAATAAGCAGAGTTGTTTACAGTTTGATTTCTGATTATTCAAATAAACCACTGCCTATTTATAAAGCTTGTTCCATAATGAAAAGATTCTAAACTAATTTTTACAGTACATGAAAGCTAATTATGCACTGAATTCTCTATATAACATACATAGTCTTGATTGAACATTTAAGAACAGATGGGAGCTGTCTTCTATCAGACCATACAATTTGTCCATCTACTTCAATATGGTAGACTCTAGCGGATGTCACACATTATTAAGCAGAGGAATTTGTTGTCTTCTTTTAAATGACCATTTTAAATGGAAGTAAGGACTGGACTTAAGATATTCAGCATTCAAATCATGTACTTCCCGCTGCAATGTAGCTAGTTTCTTTCTCAAAGGTGAAATACAGTAAAAATAACCAGTTAAAGAAGTGATCAAATTAGAAGATTTAAACAGGTGAATTAATCCTGCACATGGACAATGGCTTTGAAAAGAAAAAAAAAAAGAATACTGTTTGGAACAAGCATCAGCTAAGACAGAAAATTCTATTTACATAAAAGGTAAGAACCCCTCTTCTAAAACAGTATTTATCTGCTAGCCTCTTTTTTAAAAAATGGTAAGATGTTTACATGAACTGCTTCTCAATTAACAACTGAGAACAATTCTTAACTGAGTAGTAGGTATTAATGATAATCCATACAGTAACCACTAAAAGAAGCCAATATTCTAACTTGCCAGTCGTGGAATTCATGAAAGTCGGCCATAGCCCTGTCCATTGTACAGAAGTCTAAATTCCATATTTTTACTATACAATGCTTTCTGATTCTTTGGGCTTAGAAACTGAATTATCCAAGTACCTCCTCCCCAATCGCCAACAGAAGCCATTTCTGGGCCATGAGAAACAGTGTTTGAAATGGTTGCCTGACTCTGTGCCAGAGGCAGATAGCTTTGCATTGGAGTGCTTTAATACAGTTTTATACTGCATATAAAGAATGCAAGCATAAACCAGTTTGTTGAAAACTACCCTTTTGGTGAAAGCTTGCTATAATTCTGAACAAGTTTTCAATTTCACACTGCTGCTAGGGTAAAACATTTTAAAGAGTTTAATTTTTACAGTGGCTTCAATGACATAGGATTATCTAACAAAGTAATGGCTAATCAATAGGGGGTTTAGTTGTCAGGTGAAACATATAACACACTAAAAGGGATTGATTGTTAGACTCCTCCTTATTTACTAGGAGGTA